TCCCCTCCTCCCCCAACTCCCTCCCTTAGTCCCGATCCCGAGTCCCGCTCCCCATCCCATCCAAATAAGAGCAATACAATGACGTAATGAGCCAATGTTCAAGCCCTCAGGCCACACCAACACAGTATCCAAAGTCGCTCCTCTCTTTCTGTCGCCCAGCGCCCAGCCTACACTACTCGACTATCCTACCTACATCAGCATTCTCGCAACAGGCTCACTTCTACTTTCGAAGACCAATGTACATGACGTCAACACCATAGCCGACCTCTCTCATGGACCAGGTACATATCTTGTCTCCCCTCATCAGACCCTGTCCACCCACACTCGCCTACTTTCTGAAGACCACTGATCGCCCTCTTAACCCCTAGCGCCCTGCAGCCCGGCTATGGCTGCCTGCGCTCCGCTGCCCAGCAGCACCCCTCTTCACCACACACGTGCCCACACGCGCTCTGGCCTCAGTGCAGCACGCAGCCTCTAACTCAGCAGCGCAGCAGCATGACCACATTGCCTGCGTGGGCCAGAATGCCAGACCCGGGCTGCCTTCCTTCCTATATGGAAGTGCCAGCGTCTGCTTGGCTGCGTGTGGCCTGGCTGGAAGCTTCCAGTAGCTTCCGGTTGGGCCCCAGTACCTGCGCCCAGGCCCAATGCTACAGTTAAGGACCTGGGCCCTGTACAGTTGGGCACGCCCTGAGTCTTCAGACGTTGGCCGTTTTCTGCATTTGCACAGGACCCGGGGTATGTACGTCGACAGTGCTGCTTTTGCGTAGGCCTGTGGCCACTTCGTGATGTATCGGCCCTGCATTTTGTGTATGTGCCCAGGCGCAACTGCCACAACCTGGGCCAAGCTGTTCGACGCAGCTTAGGGAGGCTCACGCGTCCACTCAACCAACTGGCGGGCTGCAACAGCCTGAGTACCCACATACGAAAAATGCCGAATTTTGGCCTCTGGTGAATATTCAGGCCCGCCTTCACTTAGGGCGGGCACTTGGCTTGCTGGGGGGCTCTGCCCAGAACATGTGCATGTTTGATAAGGGCCCCGCGAGGGCTCATTCCTCGCAGAAAGAAAAAAAACAAAAAATCCCAAGAAAGGGGCGGTGCTGCCGGGCAAGGGCCAGGGAAGGTCCATGTAAAAGAAAAAAAAAAATCCAAAAAATCCGAGAAAGGGGCGGTGCGGCCGGGCAAGGGCCGGGGAAGGTCGCTATAAAAGAGAAAAAAAATCCACAAAATCCGAGAAAAAAACTATGTTGTGCAGAAAAATAAACTGAGCAAAGTTTTGCCTCACGTGAGGAATTAAAAATAAAAATATATAATTAAAAATTAAAAAAATAAAAATAGTAAAAAAAAATTAAAATTTTAAAAAATATATTTTTTATTTCTTTATTCAGTTTTCACCTGGCCGTGCAAGTGGTCCCGAGCCACTCCGGCAACTTGGATTGATGATGATTGCTTGGCAATGGTTGCTGAATTGTCCATAATACCGTCTTAATTATCTGTAATCCTTGCCCAATTTTATCCATTTTACTTTCAAAGAATCCAAGGATTCCAGACTGTTTGCAGGTTGGAAAATTTTCTAGTAATAAGGTGAGAGGCAAGCACATGGACTTCAGTGGCTGAGAGTCTAGTCACGGCAGACTGTGATGTTACACAGCTAAAGTCTCTAGCTCATACGAATCAACAAACTAGAACGAAGGTAGAGCAGGAATTACCCAGAGGTCCAATCGCCTGCGCTGAATGCTGTCAGAGCAAGATACCGTTGATCGTCCTCATCAACCAAGTTCTGTTTTGCTGTCTCAAGCCCTGTCTCAACCCTCTGTTCGGAACCAGGAGAGCCACAGGTCAAAGTGCCACCATGGCCATGGCTATCACCATCTGCTCTGGCCTTCAATTTACACATTTCCGTAGCGTCTTTCACACTATCATGCTGTGGTAGTTTTCTGATGTTCGGATTGTTGCACTCACTGTCTTCATCCGCATCATAATCCTCCCTGCTGTTGCTGACTGGAGCCTTATCACTGTGATCAGCCAAACTGCCAGTTCTCTCAGTCGAGTCATCCTGATTCCCTGCGAAACTGCCGCCTCCACCTTCACGAGTTCTACATGAATGTGCTCGGATGTGTCTGGCATGTGGAACGTGATGATCCACCTCTGGATGGCTATTGCCCGCTGGAGCTTCTCCGCAACGGGGCACCGTAATAGTCGCATCCTTCACTGCGACACTGTGGTTTTCTCTTCTGATGGCAATATCAGGTTGATGCTGAGTCATCTCTGTTGGGCTCACTCCGTATGAAGTGCCACCGCTATGTTCCCTTTGCTGATTGCAGTGCATTTTCAGCACCCTGTGAACACGGCCAGGGGTCAGAGTACTCAACCACCTCGACCTCAGCTCCCATCGTCCCCCGGTTTCTACGAAGGTGTCATTATTTCTTCTCCCTACGTTCACCCGTCCAGGATTGGATTCCTTCGCAGCTGGACCGCACAGCTCCGTGTCCGGTTGCTTAACCCACTCAAACTCGTAGGCCCAACAGGTAAGCACCTCTTTTGCTCCTGCTGTGAACAACAAAAAGGGCTCAGGTCCTTCAGGATGAGCTTCCCTGTTCTCACATGGGACTATTGAGTGCCTGGTTCTTGCTCCATCTCCTACACCAAGTTCACCTATGGGAAGGTGGTTTCTGCTTATCGGCAGTCCCTGTGGGCCGATCAGACAGTCACCCTCGCGCCTTTCCCACTCTTGACCATTTTCTGTCAGACGCTTCCATCTTGGAGGCACAAGAGCAGAAGCACGCACAGCTGAACCGCCCACGTGCTCACCCTGGATGCTCGCAAACTGCAGAGCTTGTGTCCTCTGTGGGTCATACCTATCAAGAGAGACCCATTGAAGGAAGGACGCTCATGAATCAATAAATCTTCCTTGAAGTTCTTCCACAAATCAACGAGTCCATAGAACAGCAGCAAGTTCAGAGGACCACGGTTCACAAAGGAGAAGGAGGACATAACAATAGTGAAAAAAGCTGTGAATATGCTGCAAATTTGCAAAATACAAAGCAGTAGAAGCAGTGCAAAAAAAAAAAAAAGTCCT